ATCAGTTTATTAAACAAATGAAATCTAGGCTTATTGCAATTAATTAATTAATGCGCTATCGGCGTGTCACACGATCAACACTAACGATCGTACACGTGGTGTTGTTCTGTGATTGATAGTTATTTGGAGCCAGTCGATGTGTCTCCGATGATTTATTTAACATATTTCGTCAATAAATCATCGTTTTAAACTGGCCGTCCGGTTTTCAGAAGGTAATTTTATTGTTCCGGACTTAAGAATTTGGTCGGAATTCGGAATTGGGAGATCCGGTTTTCAGAAAGTATTTTAATACACTAAGAATAGGAATGATTTTGGGACTTTAAAAAACGACCGGTTTTGCGTGAAATCCGGTTTTCTGGGTGGTCGGTATTGGGAGAGTTGACTGTATATATATATATATATTACACGTATATATACTTCTAAAAGTCGTGTATCATGCATAGGAACGTTGACGCCTGCAAGGCTCTGGTTTTTGGTTAGTGTTGATTTTTTTTTTTGAAAAAAATACCTGAAAATACACCACAAACCCCTCTATATTATGATTGTATCATGTAGTTTAAGACTGACTTGGTACCTCAGTCAAAAATATTAAATAAGTTTATGTTCATAAGAACCTATTTTTTGGTATTTTATTTTTAACAATAACAATAACATGTGGGATTTACATAATATAGGTCTCTATGTGCTTGTAGTAGGCACGTACTACGCATCTTTCTCCCCATCGTCACATCAATTTTGGTGCTGCAAACGGTAAGGAGGGGTTTCATTGTACTTCATAGGGTTTAAACTTTGTGATGTAAAAAATTCGTTGACAGTACACTCAAGGCCTAGTACCACCTAGCAAACAACAATTGCAAAAAAAGTCTGTCATTTTTTTCAAAATGTATGACTTAATATGTTAAGGTAAGAGTAACTTTAAATTTTTATGATATGTGACACCGGGTTTAAGGAATGTCAAAGAATACCTTAAAAATTATATCTGTACATGTTTAATTTGGTGGTAGTAGTAGTTGAACCTCTTTTTTTCGTTTCGTAGCAAAAAATGCCAGCAAGCCAAAGTTCTTAGGGTATTATAGACAAGGCCACCGTGTTTTTTTTTTGTATAAGCTAAGCTTAGAGCGTATGGTGGCCTTAACATTAGTGTACTTTTATACTACATATCAGAAAGCACATCTAAAACATGATATTATTGAAGAATAATTTTTTGTTTAACTACTGTAATCTTCTCAGATTTTATTCTTTTTTAACTTAATTATAAATAAGGCCTTTTTACTTCTTTATAAATAATATGTATGATGTCTGTTTTTTTTTGTTTCATTTTCCTTTGGAAAGGGGGGGGGGAGAAGGGGCACCATGAGCATTTTCTCTTAATGGATACCGGCACTTTATAAATTTTCCTTATTATTATATACCTACCAGTACTGTATTAGGTAAATAAACATTCTAATTATTTAAAAATTTCTATCTTATTAGCTCTTGCAAAAAACCCAATATAATAACTCACGCCTGTACCGTATTTAAGTGTGGAGGAACACACGGACTGGTGGGCGGTTGCTCTTGTTTTGTTTACTGTAAACCAAATTTAAAAAATCACCAATCTTGTCCAGAATCAAACATATTGTACATGATCATATAAACACTGACACAATGAGACAATTATATAAAGATGCAAATGTATTGTTACATTAATTTTACTATTAGATGTTTAATAATATCTAATTAAACATAATATTAAGCACCACTGCGCATATTCGAGATCAGGTTTGGTGCAGCGCTTATTTGAGAGCGGCACTCATTTAAGCATTTACGGTATATACATTCACCATAAGCTGTATTACAGAGTACGTGTTGCATTAATAAATTACCAAATATTACTGTAGTCTTATGGCTCAAAACATCGGCAATAAATGGCTTGTTTTAGAAATCGATGAGGTAAAGATATGCCTAGGCATGATATAAGCTAGGGCTAGTCTAGAGAGTGCTAGCTAGCATAGCTAGGGCCTAGGCCTACGCTCCCTCTCTCCAATCCGGGTCGATTTTGCTCGGTCAGTATGGCTGTTCATCCGCCATACTATAGTGTATTAATATAGCGACTCTGAAGTTTAACTTTAGGGTCAAGCCACCTCAACACATCAACATAGTAGCCTAGGTCAATACATATAATTCCAGATATAAAAAAATTGATTATAATATTGAAAAGTGTACAGGTATCATTATTGTAGTAGTGACTCTATGTCCACGTTTTAATTATTGTTATTTATTTGTTAGCATTATATTATCTATATTTAAATTTAATGTATTTTTTAAGTATGAACTACTACTACGTCCATGTTCAGTGGCGTAGAAAAATATTTTTCATTGGGGGGATGATTGGCGTGTTAGCTAGTGTCTTAACAGGCGCGAGGGTGGGGGGATTAGGGGGAAACTGCCCCTCCCCTGACAGTTTTTACCGGGCTGCCCAAGCCGTCGTACCGTGCTGGGAAATAAGAGAAAAGAAAGAGGAGAGAGGGAGGGAAAGAGAAAGAAGAGGAAAAGAAAAGGAAAGAAAAAGAGAAGAGAAAAATAAAGACAAGAATAAAAAGGAAGATATCATAATGATCAGACTCACAACACCCTGCAACCCCTTCTCCACTTCAAAAACTGTCATAACTCCTTTGATCTATGCTGCCCGATGGCGTAACCACTGGGGGACAAGGGGAAAATATCTATCTTTGAAAAATCCTCCCCACCCCTTTATAAATTCCCTTTCATCCCCTGAAAGTGCCTAAAAACCTCAAATTTCGCGCGTATTTCTTGTTAACATGGCCCAATTTCCTCAAAAAATTGCACATTTTAGGGAGTTTTGATCAATTCCAACTAAATTAGAATTAAAAACACCGGGGGACAAGGGGAAAATATCCATCTTTGGAAAATCTTTCCCCACCCCTTGACAAATGCATCCTCTGAAAAAACACCCCATTTTAATACTGCTAGATACGCCACTGGCAGTACCCGCTGCTTATTTGGACTCGAATTCAACCCTGGCCATCAGGCGCAAGCTCGGTGGTCTAGAGGTATGATGCCAGGCTAGTGATCTGGAGATCGTCGGTTCGAGTCCCACCCGAGAACAACTTGCAATTTTTTTCGCAGTTGTTTTCAAATGTGCTGAGTATTCGGTACATTTCCACGTCAGGTAGGGCAAAAAAATTACATCTATACATGTTTCTCCTGACACATATTCAGTTATTGTCTATTATTCTATCACGACAATAACATTTACTATCAACACTGCAGTACCCGCTGCTTACTTGGACTCGAATTCAACCCTGGCCATCAGGCGCAAGCTCGGTGGTCTAGAGGTATGATGCCAGGCTAGTAATCTGGAGATCGTGGGTTCGAGTCCCACCTGAGAACAACTTGCGATTTTTTCGCAGTTGTTTTCAAATGTACTGAGTATTCGGTACATTTCCACGTCAGGTAGGGCAAAAAAAAAAAAAAAATTACACCTGTACATGTTTCTCCTGACGCAAATCCAGTTATTGTCTATTATTCCATCACGACAATAACAATTACTATCATAATAAAGATATTTAAAACGTCAACTAAATATGTTATGAACAATATACCAAAATTACATTTTTACAGCCAGTACTTATTGAGATATAAAAATATTTGGTCAAAAGTCGAAAATGTCATTTCCGGTCATTTTTGCATCAAGTGTTTATTTAATCAAATAGAAATGTATATTTTGTGGGAAAATAATTTTATTTGGTACGTTATAACACATAAACGACATAAGATCACATAATTCCATAAAGTCACATCATGTATTATGTCAAAGGTCGTAAATTGCATTTCTGGTCACTTTCTGAGAATATGTTCTATTACAATTAATATAAATGTATTTATTCTGAACAAAATGACACTAAAATCAAATCAAAATGATGAGTAGTTATTGAGATAGATCAAGTCTCTACACTTTGTAGTTGCCAAGATATGAGCACTTTTTGTGCGGCCATTTTGAAATTAAGATGGCCGCCATAGCAGACATTGGACACCCCCCCGATATTTTGATTCTATATACATTGAAGAAACTTTGTGCCAAGTTTCATGCTTTGGTAATAAAATGCACACCTCATGGCATACTATGGGTTTCAGAAAAAAAGCTATGTATACGTACAGTATGGTCTAAAAAATAAACGTCACTAAAGGAGTTTTCAATTGGAATGTTCTTTACCTTTCCTTGGTTTTTGACTCCATTGGCCATTCACATCTTTTATCCCTTCACTTCTATTTTTCCCACCCCACCTCCATCTCCGTTGGGGAGAGCTTCTCCTCCCCCTCCCAACAACCACAATTCGTAAGGGAGAAAAAAAAATTATTGTATTTACTACATATTACTGGACTCTAAAATCTATTAAACAAGCCTTTTAAACCCCTAGATTTTTGGAGACTTTTCCCTCTGGACCACGTTCAAGATATTTTGACAGTGCCTGATCACGCCAACTTTCTTCTCGCCGGGGACTGTTGGGCTGTTCTATAAGAAGACATGTTCTACCCTTTGAGTCATGCCTGATGATGATTTTCCTGATGAAATATTTGAGCTTTGATTTGAATTTATCTTGTCCGTACTGTCGTCGGCGCATGGTTGTAAAATGAGATTCTGTTTTTCTGGTTTTTTTTCAGTTTGAATGCAAGATATGGAACAGTAGCTGTACCAAATGTTTTACTCTTTTACAAGGGAAAGCCTGTAATGAGATTTAATTACACAAGAACTTTTGAGAATTTTAGAGATTTTATCCAGAATAACACAGGTGAAGTACAATACAGTAAATGATTTAGTAATCCAATCTTGTAGCATTGATTTGTCAAATAAAGTTTTTAATATTTCATTTCTAATTGAAGATCATCAGTCAATCAATTTATAGTGTAAATAACACAACTGCCCCTATCCGCCAAAATTTTATTATATATATTTAGTAATATATTTATATATTTTTTGTATAACCATTTTAAACATGTCTTGTATAATTCTTTAGCAATGTATACAGGAATACGCATGCTCAAATGTATTAGAGTACAGACACAAAACTTTCATAGTTTCTTCTATTAATCCACAGAAAATACTAAGTGTATCCGTTATCAAAAGTTAAAAAAAATAAAATATATAAATTATTTCTATGGAAAATTGTGTTTTGATAAATTTACAGGTCTCCAACCAGATTCCTCAGTTGAGGTATTGACACAAGACTATGATGGGCCCCTACCAAGCATACCAACAAAAGAACCAGATTACATCTTATGGTTATCGGTAGCATTCTTGGCTCTTTTCACAATATACATGATGTACCAACATTGTGGTCATATTGTTGCTAGGCTTCACCAGGAGATGGTTGGTGACGTACACGAACATATAGATTAAATAAAATAGTAATTTATTTGTCTTTATTTATTTGTAGACTGTCTGCATTCAGAAAATCTGAAAATTTAATTGCTTTAAAAAAATCAAAAAAGTTTTTCAATTTTTGTTGATCTACAGATTTTTACTGCAAATATCTTTTAATATATTACTAGCCAAGGCTCATGCAAAACATGTAGGAACAATATTAAGTGTTTTCTTGTTATTTAATATACAAAATATGCAATTCAGGCATTGAATTATATTTTTTGAGTTATATTTAGCACAACACAGAAGGTGTATCTCTAAAGGGCCATTCTTACAAGCTCACATCAAAGTTCGCTAGTTTAACCCCTAATCGTCTAAAAACCCATCCACTGAACTTTTGAGGAAACTAAAGTACAACAGTCCTTTATTTCTACCCCCAAGCCCAAAGGACTTGATGAGGACCGTCTGGCAAAAATATCCACACGTTTGATAAGGCTGGTGAGGTTCAGTCAGTGAAACTGCCCAAGACTTCTCCATTTTAAAAATTTACCTCATTGCCAATCTCTAAGTTACGGTATGGCATATACCCCAAAAGATAGGGTAGGCTGCAATAGAAGGCATGCCTGCCTTATAGCTTCTATGGCACCGTCCATGAAAATGTAGTAAGTTAAATGTTTCTGTGTAGGTATACATATAGGTTCTGTGGTTGTGAGTTTCCAACTGTCGGGGAGTTCCATTCCAACGGACCCCAGGACTGGCCGTAGCATATAGATGACGTCACCAAACAAATAGCCCTACATACAGCTAGTTGCTAAGTAAGGATGATGTAATAGGCAACCAGTTCAGCAGGACTGAACCAGCCTGCTGCTGAAGTACGTCGGTAAAAAGGACTTACAAGTTGTTGACTATAATAGACCATGAAACATAACAGATGATCTGAGAGCAGCTATATCCCAAGGATCCAAAATGACAGTACTGTATACAGGTGTTTTTCTTCTGTAGAATTTATTGATTTTCCTCACACTCTTCACCGGAAGGTCTAAAACAAAATTGCATTATTTCCTGGACTGCTTACAGCATGGTTGCAAACAACTACACATGCGCAGACAACTCTGGACTGCCAGGATTGCATCTTCTAACCGTTACAAAGCTGTCTCGCCTAATTAGGACCAGTGCTTCATTATTTTCATTTCATTTATTTCGTCACTTGATAAAATATACAATATTCAAAAAACAAAACACAAATCAAGACAATTAAAATTGTTTTCAGGAGGTGGACCGGATTAATAGCAAAATAAATAACTTTCAACATGGCTCTCCAACCCCCATTCAACAAAATAAAATACAAATAATAATATGTACATAAAATTTATATAAAATATTACTTAGATTTTTTTTATATTTAAGTATTATAAAATTACCATAAACAGGTTAAAAAGCAACACTTAAAAAATACAGCCAAAAAATAAAATTCAGTTGGAAGGCAAATATCATCATTATCAAAATAAAATTAAAACAAATTACTTGAAGGATTCTTTAAGTAAGTGAAAAAAGGATAAAAAGCTAATCACAAACTCATCCTTAATCCTGGTAGATTATCCCACCAACAAGGAAAGGCATTAAAAACATGATACATTGCTGTATTTGTGTGGCAGCGAGTGTAGAGGAATTTTGTGCGATCAATATATCTGATTATTTATTTATTATTTATATTAAGATCATACTTTTTATAAAAGCATTTAGCTACAAATGATATACCTGTACCAAGGTATTTGAATCTGACGTTATATGGAATTGAAACATAGTTGTTAGAAGTGTTTGCTTTTGGAAAACATCAGGCTCCCAAGTTAGAAGAAGTCAATTCCGGAAGCAGGGCAGGGCTCCATCAGGGAAAGCTGCCCCCCCCCACACTTACCCCATCGGGGATAAAAGCCTCAATTTGTCGGGGAGAAATAAATTATATGTACTGTATTTTATACATAAATACATAATACATAAATTGTCAAAAGTACAGGGGCTTCCCCCCCCCCTTGACCAATTCCGATACATTTTGAGCAACTCCCGACTACGCCCACTTTGCTCCCGTCGTCACATCTGCAGTGATTGGTTCCGAGAATTCCCAATAGGGCAACAGGGAGGGGCTTTTGTTGGATTTCCTGTCTTTCCGTCTTTTTGTGAATCATATTTTATATGAATTGTATTTTGAGACAAATAAATGAAATAAAGTGATAAACATTGGCAATGACGTCAGTGAGACAATTGATAAGCAGTGAAAGCATGCAAATATAATGAATTTGCGGGAGGCCATCCCAATTTCCGGGAGACTCCCGCGAGTTCCGGGAGACTTGGGACCCCTGAAACATAGTGATTCTGCGTTGTATCTGTTCAAGAGAACATATGGCCTTTTGGTACAGGTACCATGCTGGAATCCCATATCCAGTATTAAAGGTCTGACCAAAGTCTAATACATCTTAATGATAAATTGAGGATTTTTACTATTCTTTTAATAAAGCCCATCATGCGGGAGGCTTTACCCTTACAGTAATTAACATGATAACCTCAATCAAGTTTATTTGACAGAACAACTCCTATATATTTCTAAGAGTATGTTTCTCTTAATTTCAGATGAATTAATATGGTACTTGTGCATGCAATCAGACAGGTGTTTAGATCTTGGATACTTTGATCCATTAAGTTTCATGCCATTAGACTTACTCCAGTTACTGACAAAATTAAGACCTTTCTGAAGCAAGTGCTCATCGTCATTGGACCTTATAACTCTGTAAATCAGTGTGTCATCGGCGTACATTTGTATGCATGAACTTACTGGGGATAGTTTCTACCATTTTTATCTATTGAAGTAATTGTACAGTATTTGTCCTACCTGGTAATCCCGGCCCTGAAACCTTGACTCAGAAATACCGGGTTGGTGTCCGGCGGGGGATAGTTTTCCACCAAAGTTTTAACTGTTGTTTATTTTATTGTACTGTGATGGTTACTTTTGTTGTGTTTGCAGGACCATATTGTAAAACAGCGGTAAGATCTTGCCTGTATATGTTATCCTGCCTAAAGATGTTTTTAAATAAATAAAAAAAAAAAAATACTGAGACACTAAGCTCAAGCTCAAAGATATTAAACAACAGCGGTCCCAGCACCAATCTTTGCGATACCCCTGAAAGAACGGGACAAAATGTGGATTTGGCCCCTCTAAAGACAACCTGTTGCTTCCTATTTAAAAGGAAAACAGAAATCCAATTAAAGATTGTTCCACAAATGCCAAAATTATGGAGCTTATTCGGAGGAGGGAATAGGGAACACAATCGAATGCATGCTCCAATCGAGGAATAGTCACAGTCCAGGGTGACCAGTGATGAAAATCAAATTATGCCGAGGCTGATGGAAAATTATGCTAAATTATGCCAAACGTTAAATTTCGAATAATATATATAAGTGCCTCCTTAAGGTGGAACATCATCATAAACAAAAACAGCTTTTTGACTAGTTATTATGAAGATGTAGAATAAATAAAATTATATTTGTCATTTTCAAAATTATACGATTATGTAATCCAAAATGGCCGCCCGGCATATCAAATTACGTAATATCTTTTAAACATCAAAACTCTGCAACCCTTAAAGCTATCACAAGGAAACTTTGTACACATATGTATTACATTAAGATAAAGTGTTAAATGAAAAAGATAGTTTTAGTTTATGAGTTACCACATTTAAATTGAAAATTTCAAAATTACTCAGCGTACCTACATTTTCTATGGTAGTTTTTACCTACACTTTCATATAAACAGTCCAAGTTTTCATTTAACGCTAGAGCTATATTAGGGCTATAAATTTTGTGGGGATTGGATTAGTAATTAATGAGTTATGGTGTCGCAGGCAATTCACATTCTATCAAATTTTAAAACCCCATTTGGGTTTAGTGGGCACCATAGGCATAAACTTCACCCTCTGTTTCCTTTCTTTTGTCAATCCAGCCTTTTTTTTATTGCTCTGAGATGTTTTCTTTTCCCCATTTGTTGACCTCTGTTCGGCGCGATATACACATTTTAAATCACCCCTCCTACAAGCAGAAGTGGTGAAGTGTCCTGGTTGATACAAGTGCACAATAACTCCAATGCTAATTACTCCTTACAAATGGATCTTGCAAAAGTAACCATTCTTAGGTTTACTTCTTTAGTATTCTTTCCTTGAGATACATTCTCTCTGTCGACATCTTTTGAAGTATGAAATTAACTGTTCCAGGGGCACGCCTGGCAACAAACACATACTTGGTGACAAAAACTTTGTTTGTTTTGGCTATCGAATGAACATTTTACCATATCACATTCAGGGCACCGTATGTTCAATCAAAAATGTACTTCGTAAACTAAAATCTATTATGTCATAAATAGTGACTGTTTTCCCAGGGTTGGATCGTAACCACCCATCCATAGCTCGGTTATATGCACTTTTAAAAGGTCCGTACACAGACCGATCTAACGGCTGGAGTCGGTGTGAGGTGGTATGGTTAGCAGAACGATACCATTAGCCTTCGCCATGTCAATGGTTCTTAGTGAAATATGGGACTCATGATTGTCAAGGATCACCAGAATTTTGTGTTCCTGTGAGCATCGAGTATGTTTTATGATATGTTCTATATAGTCAACAAATATGTCTTCATTTATCCACCCCGATCGTGTGGCATGACCAATTGAGGTAGTGGGTTGCTCGTTTAATTTTTTAATACCATAACACACAGCTAGCTGTCAATTCATGGTCTGATAAGCATAATAGCCCTGTGTTACTGTTTAAACTAAAGGAACAACTAATTAAGTTAAGTTTATGGATCTATGACAGCTCCCTCTGGGCCACCTAACAGCTCAATAACAAAGTGGGGTAAGTTGAGCCATGGCACATCTTGCCCCATATTGACTGGCTCAACTTACCCCATAGCAACCTATGAAAACATCTGGTCAAGCATACCAAAGTGATGTACATTTGAGCATATAAAACCAACCATTATGAATGCATATAATACTGGCTACATTATGTTATCTATGAATTTGGAATCATCTCTACAGTAACTGGACCATGATTGCACTTACCTTTTTCGGCAAAAAAAGGATTTTTCAATACAGGATGTTCAGCTCAGTGTCAATCTCTATGTCTCATACAGCAAAAAGACTTTAATGGGTACATGTTTCAACAGAGGGCAGCATATATCTGGTCAACCAATTTATATTCAATTTTAGGGGGTTGGAACAACTTACCCCATGGCTCATCTTACCCCACTCTCCCCTACTTGTTACCTGGACATTTTCTGCTCCTTTTTCTTGCTCTATTTCTACTGTTTCCCATTATACAGTAAATACCTTCAAAGCTGTCTTCAAAAGTTGAAAAACAGAAAGATTGACATTGAGATCCCGCTCGCGCATGCGCAGTCAATATTGAAAGCTGGAAATGTGGCAGCTGAAAATAGAAAGATGACACACCAATAATTGTTTGAAGTTCTGAGGGAGGGAGAGGGGGAATGTAATCTTTCCCTTCAAATTATTCATAAAATACAAATCAAACTTCAAACGGTAAGGTTTCGTTTAATCTTTCTATTTTATTTCATAATTTTCGGTAGAAATTACATTGGGATTTTGAAGAGCAGCTGTCACATTTCTAGACAACAGTTCTACAGTAATAAAACGGGCAAAAACCTCAAAGACATGAAAGTCATAAAACTCTGTATTAACAGAAATAATGCAGATTGCAATAACTATTTTCAAAAAACATGAAATCTCATAACAACTCTGTCGTTTTGTAAACTTTAACCAAACTATGCAGTTCTCATAAAACACATTCCAGTTTTGATATCTTGTTGAACAACATTGTTTGCTGCTTCACCCCAACTTAGATGAACTGGTGTTCTTGTCATTTTCTGCTTTGAGTTGTGATAAGTACGCACACGTTTGTGATTTACATCTAATGTGGTCAAATAAAAAACCTTGCATACAGGAACATTCTCACCACCAACAGGAAGGTAGTAGCAGAGACTGTTTTTACGACTGGCTTGTCCATCCTTTGTCCTCCTTGTAGGTTCTTGTGTTGTCGTTTCCCCAAAGAAGTGGAGTTTCTCATTGTCATTTAATGTCCAGAATTCCTTGAATATATCATGTCTGTCGTTTTCACTAACATTTAAGCTGCATTTAAACTTACATCTGCTGCAGTCCTTTTTGGTTTTTACTGATCTTGCATCCCATATATTCCCACGGCTATTCATGTACTGCTTTAATTGCCTAAGTCTCTTTTGAACGTTACACTTCCACTTGCTTGGATCACGTTTGTGCTTCCGACTCAGGGCAGCTCCAGAACGCTGATGAGTTCGGGCTGTAGGACGAACACCATCATCAACCTGTGGATTACTGTCAGTGGTGCCTGTAAATGAAAACATATTATTAGTCACAAATTAAGTTATTAGGGATGAGTTGAATGTTTGCCTCCATGTCAATGCGACATCTAAACAGCAACCTTACCAGGTGGATCCATCTCATGTTCAGGTGTCCCCTCGAGACTATCTACTGTATTTCGGTATCATCTTGATCTTGACTTGGGTCATATTTTGCATCTATGGGTGTATCACTGTCACCATTTATTGTGGCTGTAGGGTGAACATCATCAACATTCGGCTGGTCACCAAAGATACTGTCTGTGGGATGAACACCATCATCAAGATTCGGCTGGTCAGCACTTATTCTAGCCGGAGGATGAACACCATCATGAACGTGGGACTGATTATCAAGGTTGACGTCCGCCAGCTACAAGGGTATTACCTAAAGCAACAACTTTATCTTCACCTACAAAAAAAGAAACATTTTATTAATCACACACAGGGCCAAAGTTTCTTCTGTTGCTACCAAAAATAATGGGTTAAGCAATTGGTCCTATGTCATTGCGACGTCCCAAACAACAAACTTACCATGTTGGTGCACATCACTATCTTCATCTTTACTTGGGTCATAGTCCGAATCTGTGCTTGAATAATTTTCATCATCACTGCTGTCACAATCATATGAACTGAAAAAAAAATAATCAAATGAAAAATTTTAAATCTATCCACAGCTTTCCTTTCGAAGCAAACAGAATATTCCCGCACTGAAATGTACACATCAGACATTAGGCTACAGATTTATTAAAAATGCATGACGTGAATGTATTTAATAATTATGTATGTATATTAAATGAGTTTGAGAGATCCCGTGAGAGACACTACCTAGGCCTAGACACTTTCTACTCTACTATGCAGACACACACAATACCTGGCCTGGCTTAAGCTAAGCTACCTACCACCTATTTTTTAGAATTGTATCTCCCAGTTAAAAATAAGTGGCCAACTTGTATACTTTGATCCTAATAATAATGAAGTTTTCTTTTAAGGAGCTCAATTAGTGAATTATCTAGGTCACGTGCAACTTCATTTGGCTCGCGTGCCTGCCCGTCTGGTAAACTGTGGATTAAATGGATGCAGGCCACATTTTCTTAACCCTGAAGGTTTGCCACACCATTTGGGGAAATGGCTTGCCACAGTCTATTTAAAAGAGATGGAAACACTTCTTTTGGTATAGATCCTTGGCGATGTGACTGCTTCCTCTAGTTACACAAATTTTTTTTCCACTCTATTTTCATGGGTCAGAAGACGGCAACATCCAGTGGCTGGGTCATGTGGGTTGAGTTTGGTGGCAAAGTTGTAAAATAAATGTTGTTTGTTTGCGGCATTAATGACTTCAGGGCAAAAATGTGATGCTAAATTGTCTCCAATCAGCAACTTGCTGCCTGGAGTTTTAGCTACATGGGGCACAAATACATTCAGAAACCATTGTTCAAAAGTTTCACCATCAAACCAACCACTCTATTTGGTGGCAGTATATTTCGTGCCAACAGGACCGAGTTGAGTCCAATCCTCATAACAGTTTTGTGGTTTATAAACACAAATGGAGGCAAGAGTTCTCCCGCAGCATTACCACATGCCATAATTCAAATGGCCATTTTTGAGTGTTCTTGAACCTTTTCCACTCGCCGCATTCCTCGCAGAACGATTACTTTCTTTGATCCAGATTCATCAGTGACATACGTTTCATCATAATTGTAAACATTTTGTGGATCAATTCCATTCAAAATGTCTTGCAAATTATCAAAGTATGATTCAATATCCTCCTTGTACACTTTGGCCCTCGCTCTCTTTATGTTTCCCGCAGTCCTTTTACTCAGTCTATTTCGCTTCATGAAACATTCAATGAAACCTTCACTGGGCAAGTTGTTTTTAAAACAAGGCACATTTCTGCCATTTCTATCCATATAGTTTTTAATGATGATCTGCACATCAACTAATGTAAAGCGAGAAACCCCACATTGCCACTTCTCCAAGTGTACCGGCAAGTATTCTTTCCTCATCATCACTCATAACTGGTGTTTTACCAACTTTTTCATGTGTCTGTTGTCAAGTTTGTTCTGTAGCGTTGCACATGGAACATTAAACATTTTACTAGCATTTGCTTGAGACATTCCACCTTTTATTTTGTGCAGCGCCTATTCAATGACGTTTTCGTCATAAGATCTGTATTTTCGCTTGCCATTGCCTCGATGATAACTCCTAATCCATGACCTTAGAAAAGAAACAAAAAAATATTAACTAAATATAACTGCTTTTGTCAACAAATGAAACATTTTTATATGTACAACAAACAGGCAGCCTAGGCCTAGTCTGTCGGTCAGTGTCAGTAGCCAACACATATGCTCATCATGAAATCATGCCATTGATTTGAAATTTTAGTTCACTTTATGAAGGTGTCTTTTATTTTGAATTTTAATTGACTGTACTATAATCTGTGTCTAAAGTAGGCCTATCATAAAGTAGGTACGGTACTTGTAACAAATAGGCCTAGGCCTAAACATTGTTTCATAGTGCCTTGGCTAGGCCTAGGTACAGTTTTGTTAACCACAAACTGACCATTGTTTATGCACTGCACTTTTAAAACTACATTTTATACAATACACCATACATTTTAAAGTAAAATTACACATAAGAGGTATTTAATAATATGTAAACATTCATAGTAATCACTTATCGGTTAAGGGAAGCGTCTTTGTTTTCAATTTTTTCCCGATAATGACACAGGAAAGTACCGTGTTGTTTACATATTATTCGATGGTGAAAGATTGCTGAGAAGACTTTATTTAATACATAAATTTTGACCTTTCTAGTTACCAGATAATTTTTTTTTAAATACTCAATTTTACTAAAAATCATAAATAGCCAGTATTTGAAAAATAGTCATAAAATATCATGTTTTACACTTAAAATTGTGCTTTTTTACACGTATTAATCTTTTTTTTTGTTAAAAAATGAATACATAGTCGATAAAAGAACTCTTTTTGAAGAAGTTAAGACCAAACAAACAATTATTGAGTAAAAGGTGGGACCATGGAGGGGAGAGCGGGGCTTGTTGAAACACTTTTTAGTTTTTTGACTATTGTGTCCCCACAAGTAGCAACAACAAACTTTTTTTTGTTGTTAATTGATGCTTAGACATTGTTTCTTATAATATTAAAGTATTGTGTGGGGCATGTTGAAACATCATTGCGGGTCAATTGAAACAGCTTGGAAACATAGGTCAAAAGTGAAACTACTAATTTTAAAATGATATATAATTAATTTATTTGAACTCAAATGACATGTACATAATTATTTTACAGTTTTGAAGCATAATACTGATTATAACTAGGATAAGAATGTAGGTCTACTAAAACAATACACAAAATGACCTCATGAAATCAAAAATTCAGTGTACACGCCAATCATTTATTATTAGTCACTATTTACACAATCATGGCAAACATATGGGAAAGTTCCAGGTGTACATTCTGTACATGCCCATTGGTCACACATACTACACGGGTCCCATGTCTCCCCCTCCCTGGCATTGGCCCAACTACCCCCACAAACAACGCAAAACCACTCGTCATCAGGAGCCGAAGAACCTTCATCAACCTTTTGTTTTTTATTGCAAATCTTAGATTTACAATTTCTAGACTTAATTTCTTCAACTAGCTTAGCCTTTTCTGGTGTTGAAGTTAAAATGGCAGAGCTTTTGGTCTTCTTACCCCCCTTTGCTTTTTTCCTTGGTGGAGCACGAGGCAGTGGCCAAATATTCTCAGGAGAGAATGATGCGACTGAAGTTGAGCGATTAAACCCAAATGATGTGGATGGCTGTGACTCGGAAGCAGTTGGATTAATAGCAGCTTGAGTTGAATGCGAGGGTACAGGTAATTGAGTAGTACTAGTGTGAGCTTTAGTTGACAAGAAGTACAGATTTCTGTGTGAGTGGCGGCTTGAGTAGAATAAACGGCGGCTTGAGTGGGGGCACTATTTGATTGAGCAGGAACTTGAGGTAACTGAGCAGGGACTTGAGGTAACCGAGCAGAAACTTGAGGTAACTGAGCAGGGACTTGAGGTAACTGAGCAGGGACTTGAGGTAACTGAGCAGTAGCAGGAAGGACTTCATCCTCAGGATTATCTCTGTCTGCCGTTAGAGACGGTGCGAACTCATGATCACCAAAAATATCCCTATTGAATGGATAAATACCACATTTCCTAAACGCATTTATAATATTTGATGGAGCATTGGCTTTCATCAAGGTTTCGCCGCAGAGTCCAGGTAGATCATAAATACTCAATGCCTGCCCAGGATGGTTTCTCATCCATGCATTGTGTGCTGGCACAATTAGGTAGGTCTTGAAAGGCCCATATACTCCTCTATCAAGAGGTTACAGCTTGTGGCTACAGTGAGGAGGAAAAGACAACATAACTACACCATTGTCTCTAGCCATGTCAATTACTTCGATCGATAAATGTGAACTATGGTTATCCAATAACAGCAAGACAGGCACTTCTATGCTGGGTCTGACAGTCTTGATAAAATGTTTCATGAATACAATAAAATCCTCCTGCTTCATCCAACCTGATGGGTTTGCCGTTCCAATACTTCCAGCTGGAGCGCCAGTGAGCATATGGTCCTTAAAATGGACACGAGGAAAAATGAAATGTGGCGGTATTGCATTGCCTGTAGCCGACACAGCTTGGCATAAGGTCACCAGTGTCCCCCTTTCACCAGAAGTTATGACACCAACCTGTTTTTCACCTTTTACTGCCACTACTTTTGCAGTTTTGGTCGGTACTGTCAGAAGAGATGTTTCATCGACATTGTAAATGTTTTGAGGCAAAAATTGATATTTGTCCATAACTGCACCAAGTTTATAAAAAAATTGATTAACATTATGGCAGTTGAATCCAATGGCTCGTCCTAAACTTGTTGCCTCAGGTGTCCTTATGCTTAAATCTGCATGTCGCTTAAGAAAAGCTGTAAGCCAATCTCTGCCAGCTATTCCATTATCATTCCATGAGTCGGGCATCTCTTTTTTATGTGCCACACCACATTCATACGCTAGAATTCGTATATCTTTAGGTGTGAGTCCAAAGTACACACATGCTGAAGTCTTGATATAGTTAACAAGAATGTCTTCTTCTTGACTGAAAACTTTTCGAGCTTGTGCATATCCAGCGTGTGTCCTTTCAATTCGCCGATGCAAGTCATGGATGTTTACTACCGGTCCATCTAAAATAAACAAAATGTATTTGATTAGTAATACTAATAAAATAAGTAAAATTACAATATTATTAAAATTAAACAAAAGATGAATCAAGAAAAATACATATGAAAATGATTATTAATATTAATTACCTTTCTTTAACTTCTTCATGTAACGGTACAACGTACAATGAGCAACGCCTACAGTCTTGGCAACTGACCGAATTGAACAGTTTGTACCATCAAGTTCAGCTTGTAAAAGAATGGCTGCTTCCCTCTTCAATATTTCAAGATCTTTGCCCCTTTGTGTCTTTCTTATACGGTTACGAACCATGTTTTCTGAAAAAAATGTACTGTATATGTTGAAACTATATGCATATGCCTTCTATACAGTATTTACAATCTATCTCTTTATGATACAGAATATTATTTGTATTTTATTAGAATTAAAAATAAACATGTAAAATTGAATTTCAGTGAAAAAAAATATAATTAAAAAAAAAATGAACAATAAATATTGCCATAACATGTTTGCTACAATGTAGTAACATGAATTTTCAAGCTAGAAGGGCTAAACTATTGATAACTTTACCAATTTATCCCTTGATGTTTTTCTAGGCCGACTATATTACTTGTGGGTAAGTTGAAACACCCCGTTTCAACAAGCCCACAAGCCTAGGGAGCATTTAATCCTGCAAACACACTACTAGTCGAACGGCCTAGCTTTCGAAATCTTAGTGAAAATTATAGGCTAATATTATGACAATACTACGATAACAAACGATTTCCTAAAGTCATGCCTAAGAGAACAATATAATGTAAAGTTCTACTTACAGAAAATTTACTTTTAGCAGAAAATTAGATGTTTTTGCAAGAAATAACCTTTACCGATATCAGATTTAATTGAAAACTTGTATACATGTGGAAGATAGAGAATGGTTGCCAGGCTCAATTTTATTTCTGGAAAAATTTACCCAATTTCAAATAAACGCGTCTGTTTCAACATACCCCTGGTTCAACAAGCCCCGCTCTCCCCCTGACCTGCCAAAGTTACCCCGTTTTACTTTATATGATTTTGGTAAATGACTAATGTAAAATTTTATGTTCTCTGGGGTTTTTTGTTTTTTTAATCAAATCAAATACTGTTATAGATTTGAATAGTTAACTAACTCATCAGACTATAGCATTTTGTTCAAAGTGGTAAAATCTTGCAAAACATAATCTAAGAATTGCAATGTTGCCTTTACATACAGTAGTGCATGCACAAAACTTTTCTTTTGTGTCTTGTTTTAACTTACATTTTAACTGTGAACAAACAAGAAGAATTTCAAACCATGTTCTCACAGTGGTTGACAATAAAAGTTGAATTGAATTATGACGTATGCCAGCGTATGGCTTGTACGTTCCGCATACGCGGGCCATAAATTGTAGGTAAGTTAAGCGATCATTGACACCCGTTGACACACGTTACTTGTAAGTTACTCGAAAGTCAAAATGTATTTCTAACCTATGAGTAACGTGCTTCAATCTTAAATGTAACTTATAACTTATCTCCTACGTATATTGACGTATGTAGACGTATTTGACGTGTTCCAGACGACCAAATAATTACTGAACGTGTTTCTATCTTACAGTAATCTTACAATGGCGTATAGGCAGCATTTAGGGGAATAGGTATATTAAAATGGAGTGATATCAATATGGTGATGTTGATACTGCGATGTCTAGTGCGGTTATGATTTTCAAGAATCGACGAGCGGCAGCCTTTTTATAACCCTGACAATCGGCGATACGCTGCCGCGCACTGTGCATAAGGCAGACTATCGCTGGGCATAAGTTGTGAACGCCGGCAACACGCTAAGCATTCGTTTTTGTAAGTTTTCTATAAGCAATCAAAACTTTCTATATTATTTACTAATACGTTTTTTATATGTCCAATAAATTATGAATTCGCTATGAATGCGCCCAAAGTTGAAAAAAAAGCATCGATAGTTCAGCGTGTGCCAGCGTTTTATAGAAATTTTGATACGTTTGGCATAAGCTGAATAAATTGTTAAGGTGTGACAGGGCCATAAGATATTTCATCAATTTGTAGTAAAACACACAAAGCAAAATTATACAAGCCTAACTGTAATAATTTTGTAATTTATATATATATATTAAAGTCCACTTTACACTGCCAAGAGATTATATTATAATTAGGATATTAAGATTCAGTTGGTTTAAATAGGGTTAATTTCACTTAGAGTGTGTTTTGGAAATGACAACAAATATTCTATTTTAATTACTGTTCCTCTCTATATTTGTTATGAAACATTTTCATTTTCACCGTGACAGATAAATAACAACATTTAAAACTTGCTTGTTTAAAATTGTTATTAGTGCGGCCTCGTATCTGAGGCAATGCATTTACAATCTGCTTCTATTATAGGTAATTTATATTATTTCATTTAAACTGAAACAAAAATAAAACACATAAGCTTACCTCTTAGACGATGTTTTTAAGTAGTTATAAACATCGTGAACAAGTTGCTCAGCTGACTTGCTTAAATGTTGACATGCATAACTGGCTACTAGATGAAAGCTATAGAGATTTGCTAGGTCTCTATAGATTCTTATATTACTCGAGATAATATATAGGACAAAGTGGACATGGCTGCGACGTATAGATGACGTCATTCACAACCAATCACCGGGGCAGCGGCACATCACTCGTCCCACTTCTCCTGGCTTCCTCATCACAGTTTTTTTTTTGTTGGTGAAAGAGAAAATACAAAGAACCGATGAAAAAAAAAAAAAATGGGGTTGTGGTGAATCCCATAATTTCGGAAAAAGATGCCAATAGGGGACGATGAAAGTCCCGAAGCAGTATTGCTAGTGGGGCCGGCTTGGGTAAACCGGCATGGGTAAACCGGCCGCCGCAGTCACTAAAAATTCCAAGGTGGGGAACATAAATGTTCCAACTAACATTCCACACAAAAAGAATCCAAGTGGGAAAAGCAGCACCATAGAAATACAACTTAAACGCCCAGGATAAATTTGAATATCCCAATTGGGTCTTGGATTTTAAAAACAAGACAAGCCAACCCGCCCAAAAACAGTAGATGCTCGAGAATAGAACATAGGCGAATGAGAGGACTAAAGGTCCAACCTACAACAGGGAAGCCGTGGTGAACCTCCAATTTTGGGGTGTGGAGGCAATTTGTCCTCCACGAGTTTTTGGTGAGCAACTGAAAGGAGGATGGGTGGGGGGGGGGTGGGCAACAATAATGGAATCATAGAATCACTTTTTTTTTTTTTTAACAATAACTCCAAAGAACGGCCATAGAAATGGCAGAAAAAAAACCCTTTTTTTTGTGTGTGTTTTTCTCTTGCTGCTGCAGGGCCGGTTCCCGCAGGGACAGCGGCCAACGCAGCAGTCCTCACAGGCGATCCGGCGGCCAGAGCGGATTGCCAGAGAGCTCGGCCAGGCACCACAGATTGTCGAAGGCAAGGCGCAGTACCCAAACCCCCCGCTCCCGGCTCTCATGGCTTCTAGACGTCGCGACCGCTCTGTGGAGGTGTTGGTGGCTGTTATACGCCTCTCGCAGCACTGCCGTTACCTCATCCTCCACCGGTAGTTGAACAGGCGCTTGCCTGGGTGGGGCCTGAGACCCGACCACGAGCGGAGCAGCACCAGCGGTAGATGACAAATCCTCGACCGACGGCTCTGCCCCCGTGGAAGGTGTCAGAATCCGCCCACGACCGCTGTCTGAACCAATCACCGATGTAGGTCGGGTCGCGCTGCTGCGCTGCTATGTGGCGTTGGCAGCGTCCCGGCGCACCAGAGCCGCTGCGACGCAGCGTCGGCAGCGTCCCGGCGCACTGGAGCTGCTGCCGCGCTCGCCCCAGCAGACAACCGAACCGGCACTGAACACCCCGATTCCCCGATTCCTTGCGGCCTCCACCCAGCTGGTCGCTTGCGGCCGGCAAAGCGGAGTGGTGGCTGCCATGGTTGCGGCTCCTGCGCACCGTGTGCTTGGCAGGAAGCTGCTGCAGCAACCACCGCGTCCTGTTCAGGCGGGCCAGACCAGCGGGATTTACCCGCAAGGCCTGACTGGCCAAAAACAGCAGAGCTGCATGATGTAATAACCCCAGCGGCGTCCGCAGGGGGAATAAATCTAGGCTAGTAGGTGGTTCCTGTCCGGTAGCCGTGGCGTGGACCAAGACGTGTTGTCATAACGGCGACGTCTTGTTGCACCCGGGCACAGGACACCAATACTTGGGGACCTCCTTCCCCCATGGGACGCAGGACCAGACCCCTTGAGATCCATGGTCGCTGCGACTGCCGGAGCTCCTGTGGGAACACTGGCCACTGCGGCGGCAAAGCTCACAGGGCCAGCTCCCACAGAATGCAATGGATGTCCCGGCCTCCAAAACCGGAGGCCTGCTGGTGTTCGGCCTCAAAGTGATTTAGGGCAATCCCCAGGGTAGTTAGTCCACCCGATGGGGCCTGCCACTGAATCAAGCAGGTGTAAATTCCCTGCTCGTCCGGGCCGGCCACCACCGCAGCGGGCCAACTCGCCCCTCCAGGCCGTCGCCTGCGTACCAGCGTGCATCCCGGCTGAGTGAGTCTCACCCCGGTCCCCGATCCGCACGAGGAGTGTGGTGGTCCACTCCCCATGACGGACCTTGGCCTTGAAAACCCCATGGTCATCAAGGGGCCCTGACTTGGTCAGGGTCACATCTTCCCCGAAGGAAAGAGTGGCCACTGACACTCGGTGGGGGGGTAGTGAGGGGTCCTGGGGTGATGGAGGGGGAACTGTCCATTGGTTCTCCACTTTGAAACATGAGTCTTCCAACAACTTTTTCTCCATTTCCTTAGCTTTGCAAAATAATATTAAGGTATTTAACTTAACACTGTCATCATTAACTCCTGACATCATGCTCTGGTAAGAAGTTATAAGGAATGATAATATACAGGGTCCCCATCATAAGGTTTCAGTGGTGTACGGGGAAGTGAAACGCCTTTACCAAACCATCCCAATTACCTTCAGTTTTAATGTTAGATACATCATTGCAATCGTTAACGTTAGTTTCAATGGACTTATTATCAACAACAACATGACCTTCACTACTCTTTACCTTAGAGTATCAAATTCAGTCTTTTCTAATGTCTCTGTTTCAACATCTTGAATTTCTGCTTTTGTCGCTAGGTTGTCAGACACTGTCTTGTTCTCATATGCAGCTTTAATATTGTACACTTCTGCCATATATTCTTTTTGGCATCTGATCATCCATTCCTCTTCTTTTCCAAATTCATCATCATCATTTATCAATTTGATTAATTCAGCATGGGATTGTTAGACGGCTATCTTCAATAGGCACGTTCACAAAACTTATCATGATCTATTCATCATGATAACTTTAGCATGTTAGAGAAAACCGTTCATATAGAAACCATCATCATGCTCTATTTATGCTAATGCGTGCAGTGTTGCATGAAAACTCCCAGAAGCACAACCAATGAGGTTGGGATCTACCAGAAGCACAACCAATGAGCTTGGGACCTGTTTAATAAACTGAAGGCTGATTGGTTGAATTCAATCTCATGAATTAATTTATCACGTTAACCAAGGTTAATCATGATGAATCAACATGCTAAATCACATAAAGTGATTAAGCTGAGCACGTTATTTGATTCTGGTTGGTTCACATAAAGTGACTGGCTTGATCATGATCCACTAGATCACGTTAAATGTGAACCTAGCTAATGAGTTCTCTTAATGCACCCAAGTCTCTGGTTAAGCTGCCCTGGCGGTTTTTCTGCTTACTTTTAGCTTGTCCATTTTGGTCGTTCACTATACCTTCCTTATGCGTCAGTAAAAACAATTTGAATTGTAAAGGAAGATGTACAACGATACAATATACAATGAGTTTCGCCTGTAGTTTGAGATGATCTCGTTTATTCAGAACAATCAGAACTGACCAGAACTAATAACATTGTCTGAACGTTGTCAACTGACTAGCAATATCAATATCAATGGCAATATCAGTCAATATCAGTATATCATTCAAATCTAAAATACGATAATGAAAATATTATAGTCAATAAATAACATAAATATTTCAGTCAAACTGTACTATAACCTTTCATAACATGATAATCAGTTATAAACTCACTGTTTTGCCAGGCAAATCTTTATACTGTAGGTTGTACACTTTCGACCAATCAATCATGAATACACTCATTACCTGCAACAAAATGATATTGTAACGTTCCTCCTAAGGACGACGTCTATCAGGATATTTCGAGCTGGGGTTCACGGAAAGTGTACCTCTCCGATTTGATGTTAAGCACAGCTGAACAAACATACACGTACAACACGTTTTCTAAATTCACTGGTACTGCCACTTTATTAGCACCACTTTGCCACGGGTAACTTACCCTTTATCCTAGGCCTACTATGTACTACCGAAAATGAATGTGGAATGAGTATTCAACTGTGCCATAAGAACGTCCCATCGTCACGGGCTCCAGGTATCGAATCTCACCCCGGTCAATACCTTCTCTCAAATTAATGACTTGGTGACGAAGGCGTAATTACCCAATCAGAACATTCGGCCAATCATAGAACGATTATAAGGCTCTTCCTAGCATTGACATAACCCCCTGGCTCATAGCCATGGCCATTCCATCAGCCTAGCAATTTCGCTACATGACTCCCCCCTTAAATCGGTTCGTCCCTTGAACCCGATTATAAAATTTCCTAGTACTTTATGCATCCCATCTTTCATTAAAACATAGCGAAATTAACTTTAACTTTAAAAACAAAATAATGAATTTTTTTTTAACAGAAATCTGTAACATAATAACAACATTCCTTTGATTACTCGAAATCTCTCGGCATGCAATAAATTTTCCTCAAACGTTATCATTATTATCCCCATTTAGAATCATTGTAGAAGTGTCCATTATAAAATCATTTACAGTAGTGTTCATTGTACAAACAATCATCCTCGATAATGTTCATCACAAAATCATTTATTAGATTGTTCAAATATTATAAGTACGTTTGATGCCGTCAACTCTGACTTTCTGTGACGCTGATCAGGCGTCCCACCACGCTACTGGCCATTGTCCACGGTGCAGGGGTGCCTTATTCCTTGGCCGTGAGCAAACCTCGTTACTCTTCTATCAGGTAGGAAGGCTTCCCTCCGCTAACTCGACGGAGTTTCGGAGGTGGCGGATAAACTGTTTCCTCTATCAGCGATCGGGAACCTGGGGACAAGTCAATTCAAACTTCCATTGGCGAGGGTTGTTTAGCACCTCGGCTCCAACTCCTTTTCTCACGATGATTCCTTCTCGCATGGCCCTGCAATCTGTCTCGGGTGAAGAACGTTCCATGACAACTTATACACTCATATCGCCTATCTGTATCCGTTCGGGTGACAGGGCAAACCACCTCTCTCTTTGGGCTGGTGCTTTGGTCTGTAGAACAGAAAAAATACTGGTTATCAGAACTGGCAATGGTTTGTTTGACCGGTTTGGTAAAACATCTCCGGTACCTCGCCGGACATGAAGTTACACTGTTGGGTCCTTTCTCAACCGGGTCGGGTACTTCTGGTTCAGTTATTTCAGGTACTTCAGTTCAGTTAATTCACGTATTTCGGGTTCTTGCGCCCAGCCAGTTACTGGATTTTTCTCGTACGGTTTCAGTTGATCACAGTGGACCACACGCCTTGCTCCTCGAGGACTTAACTGAATCCGGAAAGTGACCTCTGTCAACTTATCGATGATTAGGTAAAGGCCCTTTCAATCTGCACTCTAGTTTAGGGGACATCCCCTTACGCTTGGTTTGGTCATACATCCACACAAACTTTCCAGGTACAAGATTTTGCTCTTCGGAAAGTTTATCGTACACTTTCTTTTGTCTGCAAGCACTGATCTTCAGTACATTTCGGGCACAGGCACCTGCTTTTTGCAACTGGGATCTGACTCTGGTAGCTAGATCTGGTTCGTCTGGCATGGTTTCCAGCACTTCCACTGACAAATCTATCGGGGTATGCACCTCCCTTCCTAACATAAGCATATTAGGAGATTCACCAGTAGACTCTTGGAGTGTTATCGGTATGCGAAGGTCGCATACGGAAGTCGCTCGTCCCAATCTCGTTGATGGTGGACCGGGTCCAACATCATGGCCATCAGTGTCCGATTAAACCTCTCAACCATACCGTATGACTTAGGATTATATGGCGTCGTGTCATATTGGCAGGTCAGCTTCTGAAATCCTGTTTTGTTAGACCAAGTAAGCGACTCTCCATGAACAAAATGAAGTCTGCCAGCCGGGTCATTTTCTTGTTTTCCTGTAAAAGCAGGCCTGGAGAAGAAAGCAAACAAAGAGCATAGGTTTAGCACAATCATAAAACTGACATTACGCCTATGATCTTTACGATGATAGCACTGTGAAACACATGTTTAAATTTCACTTTGTACTTTGTTGCCAGCATATTAACTGCTGATAATACAGCAACGTTCTTATTTTGTCCAGCACACGAGTCACTAAATAAACAAACAGTGTGTTGATGTTGTGGCTGACTGTGTATTTTGTTGAGACATCTTGACGAAAATAATGACAGAATCAGTGTTTCATCTAGAACTACAAATTAATGTGTCTAGGAACAAGTATAAACTACATCTACTGAGGTTGAATAACTATAGAAGAGTGACTCACATCAATGGGATAGATAGGCTATAGGTTATATCACAAGTGGGGATTTATTATATTATTAAGTGGTCTGGACGAATCTTACGATCATACGATTTTTGTTTTAATACCTCATCCCATTGGGTATGCACACTTTCACTTGTGAATGAACTATTGTTCTAGTTCTAGTAACCATAGTGATATTGGTATGCAAAATGAGGACATATATCTTAACACAGTGTTGATCACATTGTTGCCAGAAAGGTGTTTGTGAAGGTGCTGGCAACCTGATTCGATCCTCAGCCTTGTTAATGTTCACCCCAAGTGTAGAAGTGAACATCATTCCTCTTTTGTTCTCCAGTTTGGTGATTAACTAAATCAAGAAAGTACAGCCATAATGGACGTAAATAATAAGCCTCCCCGATGGGAGACTTGGGTAGAGGTTGATTTTGCATTAAATCAAAGCAAACATTTAGGACAGATTCGTCCGTCTCCCCCTTCATCAACGAATAAAATCTCTTTGCGTGCATTTTGTGCACAAGCAACTCTGTGACCAGTTACCTTTTTAAGTCTTGTTCCTCTGCACTTTGGATGGATAGCATTCAAACTGTTTACCCAGTATACAAAGCCTAGTAAACAGTGAACATAAAAATAATCTTTCATATCAAGCCCCTTGACATCCGTTAAGCTTGGTAAAGAGGTGTATTCAACAGATACTGCGTCAGACGTGAATGTTCCAATGAGCCAAGTAACTCTGATTAATGGTATTTGATGGTATAAATATATACCGTTATAAATATCAAGCACATTAGAAGCCTTACCTGTTATTGTTGTGATTTTATGAATTATAATTGTATCTCCGCTCTGTATGGGTAAACATATTTCTTGGGGCCCCTCCCCCAACCATAACCCCCCTGATTTCAGATGCTGGCACCGTATCGTATGTATCAAGTACTGGTAAACAGCTTTCAACTTGTTGTACTGATCTTCCACTTTTTGTCACACACATCTACAGTTACACGCTGTGGACAGCCCACAGGGCCAATTACATTATTCCGGTGAATTTTGTGGTACAGCCTATTAAATTGAACCATCCATCAATTATTTGATGATGAATTTGTAATGTATATGGCAATTCAGTCTGTTGAAGATACTACTGTACTAATCTTGTACGTACATTATACCATTAACATGTGAAGATTATATTTACATTAATTTTTTGCGCACCTTTTATCACCTTTTAGCATGGTTTGATACAAAAAGGGACCTAAATACCGGGATTGGTAAATTCTACATAATATTATACATGCCTAACATTAATGCAATTTCCTGTTATGCATGACTTGATTCTATAATGCAGATAAAAAAAGTTACCAAATGGATAATATTAGTAGGTAGCTGCATGCATTTTATACAAGCAACTTGGTCTCGATATCATGTTCTGTACTTCCATTACTAGGGGAACGGAGTCTGCCACACTGGAACTAAGTTTATCATACATTATACAACATATAGTTCTCTGTGATACCCACCAAAGTTTACAATGGGTCCATTTGAATTCCCAAATCACAATAATGTTAGTCTTCTAGACAAGGATTATAATGATGTGAACTTGTGAGAATGGCATTGGTCAATTCTTATGCATAAGATGAGCCTAGTGCATTTATAAATCTATTTATGTGCAATTAAAATTCAAACAATGTTACTGTTGTTCACAGAGTTTTATTATGAATTCTTTTCAAGTTTGTTCACAACGTTTCTCAGTGCTTGGATTTGAAGAAAACTGACCAATTACAAAAATGTTTTTGAAGTGAAAAATAACACTGTTCATATGTTTGGCCAAATATTGGTGCAAAAATTGATACTAACAATACAGTATTTTGAAGGTCTATTCTACCTTTCATGCATTTCAATATATACAGCTTTATTTTTGATAAAAATCAAATTTTAACCAACAAATGATGCCAGAGTGCACCACACTAACATTAGTAAACTACATCTCATTTTAAAGATGTACTGTCTCTACCAAAAAGACGGATCAAAAAAACCGATTGAAAAATATTAGTTTTCACTGATTTACAGACATTATCTTTAAATTGATTACCAACCAATTTAATGGATACAGGATAGGTACTACTTACAGTATCTATCAGTTGATTGACAGGGAATATTTGTTCGCAATTAAAACTCTTAAATCTTAATTAGGCAATTCATGGAATTTAAACCACAGTTTCCTTAATAACATTTGGGTCACATGAATAATTTTGGGTTTCCAGCATTAAGAATTATAAAGTTTATTACTTTTAGGAGAATTCTAGCTATCCGTCTAGCTGACCTTATAAGCCAAGCACAGTAACAATATGGCCAAAGCTATCAGCGCACACAACCAGAATCTACTGTATTTATTATTACCCAGATCCTTTGTGCTCGCAGGGTCAGTGGGCAAATAGAAAAACAATATCAAAACATGATGTTGCATTGAATGGACAGTGAGCTTGAAGTAAAGTAAAGTAAAACATTAAAATAGGGTATTCACTTCCAATGATACAGATCAAAATAATAATAATAATTATTATTATTATTTAATACTGTAATAATATAATAGCGAGATTTTTTTTTATTATCATAACTCAAATTACAAAGCAAGAATCAAGCTATGGATTTTTTCCCCAATACAATATTTTAAAGACATATTTGTAAAGTGCAAACATTTATGCTTAAAACAAATACCCAGTATGCAAACAACAAATAAAGATGCAAAATATAATTTACAGTTGCTATATTCAGAATTTCCTTGATACTCTTGGTATAAATAAGTATACCATTTTTGGTATATAATTTAATTTTTAAAATTAACATTTATTTATTCACTCACTTCAATTTTTTCTTTCACAAAAAAAATTAAAAACCTTTAGATTTCAGTAAAACGCAAAGATTGCATTATTCAAAATATCTTTAAAATAATAATAAAAAGTATATATGATCACTTGAAATAATTGCATGTACGAAAAACGCATTATAGCACATTAACTTATATGAATCAAAAATATGCTGTGTAACATAAAGAATGGGAAACAATAAACATTAGTTTTAACAACAGGTTGATATGCGTCAATAATAAAATAAAGTCTATTTTACAATGGATACCCATTTTCCATGAGGCATTACCTTGACTAAAGACACAAACTAAACAATTATTGTACTAAAAGTAAATAAGATAGTATAATACATACCCCAAGTATCGAAATGCACGCCATCATGTCGGGATTCAATATTTCGACATTATGTCATCATCAGGACGAAATGCACGCCATCGTGCCGGGATTCAATATTTCAATATTAATTATGTCATCATGATGATGACATAATTAATATTGAATCCCAGGATTCAATATTTCAATATAAATTATGTCATCATCAGGACCTGATGATGACATAATTAATATTGAAATATTGAATCCCGACACGATGGCGTGCATTTCGATACTTGGAGTATGTATTATACTATCTTATCTGAGATTAATCAGTGGACCTTTCGGTAAAAGTAAATAATCTGTAAGACAATACAACTAAAGAATGTACTATTACATAACACTGCTACTCACTTGTATGCACACACACACACAAATGCTCCTATACATAACATCCACACACCAACAATCTAATGTATTATTATATCATGATTTTCAATGATAATTTTATTTGTACTTATGAAAACCTCAAACAGAATCAATTTTCAATCAATCTGTTTCTAACTTAGCTAACTCACTTGTATATATGCCAATACTTTCCATGTCATACAAAACAAAGTAGACTTGTTTTAAAGATGATGCCATTACACTTACAAAATAATTACTAATGGTTTTTAGTATGGTTTCTGCAGCTGATTGCTTCGGAAATCCAGCTCTGCGGAAGAAAACAACATCGACATTAGTACTGTATATTTATTACATATTATATTGATTGGCCTCCGCTTGTAGCCATAATATTGGCACTGGTTTGAGTGGCAGGCTTTAAAATCATTTCAATATTGTTTCAGTGTGCCATTAAGAGCCATTATCTGCTACAATAACATCAAGGGTAGATCCAGGGATTTTCTGACAGGGAGGGCACAATATGAAGGGGACGTCATTGTCCCCCCCACTGGATCCACGCCTGAACATAAAGTACAATACAGTACATTAAATAATTCACAGTTAATATTTACAAACGTATGTTTTGACTGTACAGTTAAACTTGCCAAATCGACTTTGCCAACCTCAAATAATTTCTTAATTAGATAAATTAATCTTATTTTACATGCCAAATTGTTGTGTTTTTTTACATTAATTAATGATCTGTAAGTCAAATTTTATCAATGCCATTTTGAATTCGGCATGTTCAACTGTCATTTTTGTGTCTAGTGTTAATGTTGCTTTAGATAGGAAGGAAGTTACCATACAAGCTAGTCCACACATCAAGTGCTTTCAGACTAGTGTATGAAGCGCTTCATAAATCTAACTACATGTACTGTACTACATTAGTATACAATCTGTTACGTACATACTAAATCTTCCTTCTCAACATTTTATCATCATAGCCAGTCTATGAATACAAAAAAGTATGACATAAACTTGCCTTCCACTACTGATTGAGGGCAGTGCAATAGATGCTAAATTCTTTTCATCAGCTAACGCCAGACAGTTCTTGACACAGCTCTCTAACCTTTGTATAGCTACGTTATTGCTGGTGCCACCCCACACTGGACTGTTACAATGGATCACCCACTTGGCAGGAAAATTGTGACCTGGACAGATGGCAGCTATAAACAGAAAAGTGTTTCAAGTATTATAATATAAAAAGTGCAATAAATTTGTAGTCACACGAATACACTTCAGCAGACTATAATCAAAAAAGCTAAGAATTGTGACATCACAATTAACTACCGGATGGAGAGCTCAAAAGGTTTTAATCATTTGTGGCAGAGACAAGCCAAGCCAGTCACTGTATTAATAACTAAAAACTGATATTTAGTTATTAATACAGAGTTAAAGAGTAAAATGATGGCTATAAAATGGTTAAAAGAATCATTCAAATCAGACATTTTGTTATGAAGTTACAGGAGTTTAAATATACAGCTGTTTAAAGAACAATATTTGAGAAATCAGCCTTCGAAGTTTATGATTTTGGGCATTTCTCTGGCATAAATCATCACCAAATCGTTAAAAATTGTTGTTTTAACATTAAAAATGGGGAAAATAACAGGATAGCATGATGTATGGATACATAAAGGTTAGTTTAGTGCAATAAAATAGATTTCAAAAATGTTGACATTCCAGCATGTTTGGCCATTATCTCTGAAAGAGGATTTGCAACGAGTGACTAATTTGGCTTGTCCTTGCCACATATGCCAATTTGAGTAAGGACCAAAAGTTTGCGAAAATTTACCGTCCAGGCACAAATCTGAAAAAAATATACCATAGCACCATTCTTTTAGGTGTCTTACCATTATTGGTTATTTTGAGTTCCCATTTATGTCTATTAAAATATTGTTTAAAAAACCAAATTTACACTATTACACAAATCTACAAAATATTGGACGAGGACTTGTCATGCTACAACAGCAACACATGCAAGAATTCATTATTCAAATTATGTTACTACTACACTAGTAGTATAGTGGAAGTTAATAATATACGTATTAGTGGATCATACCACTTCAGTGAGTGGAGTGCCGCTAATACAAAGCCTATAACAAAATGTATATATTATAATAAATTGACCATGTTAATCCAAGTAATGTCAACAGATATCACAGCAGTTTAGCACGTACTGTATAATCCAGTTTTTAATATTTTCTTTATCAGTATCTTACCTGCCTGTTTGCTTTTGTCAACATTAAACAAAAATATTATTGGCTCACAATACAGTAATTCTTTATTTAAAAGGTATAAATTTGTCTTTCATTTGCAAAGGTTTTAGTTATCTTAATTATAAAGACGTAGCCATACTTAATATTATGCCTTAGAATAGTCTTGTATACCTGTATATGGCATTATCATTTCACCAACTGGTCTTCTCAGACTATTAAACATTATAATACTCCTGGAGCAGATCCAGATGGGGTGAGGGTCAGCAACGTCTGGACCTCTTCCCTAAGATTTTAGAGTGCTTTTTTAGTGAAAAGAAAATGTTGGTAAATAGCCAGCAGCTGTTGATTATGGGGGCGGGGATGGGGATCATTTATGAGGATAATTTTCAAGCTAATATAATATAATATTTGATTTGTAAGTTATATACATCTCAATGATGGGAGGGTGACAAAACAGAACATGGTTCAATATGTCGTTTAAACTTGTCAGGTACACAGGAGTGCCCTTTATCTTTCTGGACCCCCCTCCTGCAAATATCTGGATTCACCCCAGTACTCACATACAGTGCTCATGAGTATTTATAAAGAGTCAAGATCATATAATGCTGTTAACAGTGGCAAACTGTCAAGGGCAGCAAGGTATGTGATATTTACCCAAGCTCATTACGCCAAACAAATGTTTTAACTGTATTTTTCATGCGTTATTTATTTTTTTTATACCTTGTTTTGTGAACTTATTTCTTTAAAGATAGCCAGAGGAGGGCGGGAAAATAACATTTTGGTTTTTCATTTAGCAAATAGTTTTGCCAAAAACATTCAGGCGGAAAAGAAAATAAAAACAAAATTCACAATTATTGGTGGGTGGCAATTTTGCTAAACAAGATATAAAAAAAAGTCTCGCCTTGGCAATTCTTAACTTATGCAAACCTTAACCATTAAGTCTATTGCATCACACAGTGTACCTTGGCTGTTTAGAATGTAAACATGTTTGATTTTCAGTGCTAGCTAACTATACATTAGCAAAATAAGTTATGGAAGCAGTTGTGACTGTAGGATCCTTTGCAACAAAGTCCTTTCCCTTTAAAAAGCTAAGTGTTAGAATAGCAAATTTTACACTGGTTTGAAGGCATCGCCTCCTAGTGTTTGTGCGCATTCTCTTATATTTCTCCACTTTACTGAAGTTAATTTCTATAATCATACAGAAATTCTACGCATTTTGAAAGCATATGTCATGAGCATACATGAGATTTGTAATATCAAAATTGGATATTGCAGTATGTATTACTATTACCGAGTGTACAAAAGCAGTTCTAAAAATATTAAAAATTAGTACACTTCTCCTGTAACTGTGCATCTGTTGTGGGTGTGTATTGCATGTATGTGTGCCTTCTTTTAAAATGCCACTTAAACTGCACTAACCTCCAGCTGTATCAAGGGTTTGTTGATTCGCTTTTAATTTTTCCACTTCATTCATAAATTCTTTTCCACCAGCCTTCTCAAGAGCTACACCTTAATAATGCAATATATTAAAAATTAACATTTTATTTTGTCTGTCACTACAGAAAAAATGCATTTCTCCCATTGGTGGGACTTTAAATAATGTACAAGTTGTCAACAATGAAACATAGAGATTAAAATTTAATATTATTTTTAGTGTGCAGCGTTAATATAATATAAAGGATTTTAACATTTTTCATTTATTGAGTTTAATAACCGTCATTCAGAATCTGTAATTTAAGCATAAATTTTAACAACCATCAAATACCTAGTCCAGTCTTTTTTGTTGCCATGAACTACGGATCGGTACTGGCTTTTACACTTACCAACTTGACCTCCCATGTAGAAGTTGTCATTAGTAGGGTTCACAATCACATCTGCTGGTATGCTTGATATATCTGCCTGAATCACAGTAAGCTGAAAGATTTCAAATATCAAATGAGTGTTGATAAAAGATGGTAATACATTATTTTTCAATTTACAGTACAATTATAATAATAAATAATAAAAACACTAATAATTATAATAATAATAGAAATAATTATTGACTTATATAGCGCTCCTAACACGGCCACTATACTCAATTGGTGAGTTAATTGACCTAAAAACCTTTGAGACGAGTATGGGGTAACTCCAGTGTACTGGTCCAGACAGCCCCTGGTGGACGTATAGTGTTGATGGTACTAGTTTACACGAAGACACAAAGTAATCTGTAAAGCTGGCCACTCATTGCATCAAACAACAGTCAACTGACTCCCTCCCTGCTGATTGCCGGTGGCAGTCTGAATGGTACGGTACTACACAAACCGCCTTAATGAGGCTATTGACATGTAGGATTAGTTGCCTTGCACGTTGCAAGACAGATCGTAAACTGTAAAGCTGGCCAGTCCCTGCGTCATACAATGTTCCGCTGGCAGTCTGATCATCATCAAAAGCAATCCTTGCGCAAGCGTTGTCCATAGGATTGCGTCGGCCGACGACCATCGGGCCCGGCTTTAGGAACAAGAAAGTCGCCATACACCAAGTGCCATGACATCTTCTTTGATAGATACCGGCACTACAGAAATACACACTATTTATTTGATTAAACGCCCAGGGCATTTATTGTTGAGACTGATGTTGCTTCCATTAAATTTGTTTACAGTCATTTTGGGGGGGGGGGGGGGGGGGGAATTTTATTTGAGGAAAAAAATTCCCAGAGTGTTTATTCAAGGGAGATGTTTATTCCAAAATGGGGCTCTAGAGGGGCGTTTACAGTATTATACAGTATTATACTTGGTGGTTATCTCATGCAATAAATTACCACACTAAAAATCAATCACTACCTTTTGACCAAGGAAAAGCCTCTTCTCTGATAAAATAGACAGACCAGATTTCTTTAAAGCTGCAGCTGTAGCCTTTCCTTTATCTGATGAAGAGTTTCCAGCAGTGTTCTTGGCTTGTGCTGCCGCCGCAGCTGCCGCTTTCTTCATGTACATCTTTTTTGGAGGCATTTTCATTTTCTTAGGAGCCGGGGCTGGGCGAACAGCACCGTCATAGATAATTTTACTTTTGGCCCCACGTTTTCCTCTTTGGAGAAGCTCTGGGTGAATGCGGGGTAGCACACCGCCACTTGCAATTGTAACGTTCTTCAACAGCTGAATGTAAAGCAAGGAATAAATAAGAATACATTTTATAATCATTGGAGGATTATATAATTCCAACATATTAAATTAGTATAATTTATATTAAGATATTAGCACCTGATGCTTTTTACATTATAACTGGCTCTATGTTTGTTTCTTTTTGAGATGCAGACAAAATCAAATCAGATACTGTATATAATATTTTTATTTTCAACTTTTATTTTAATATAAATTTTTAAAGTATTAATTTTACACCATACTGAGAATGAATTGCCATGTTTTTCAAAAGTTACTGTACCTATGAATATAAAAAATAATATTATATTTTAGTTTGAAAGAAAAATATGACTTTAAAGCTACTTGGAACATTGCCAGTCTTACCTGATGGAGTTCCTCATCGTTAGCAATTGCAAGTAGAATATGTCGAGGAGTAACACGGCTTTTCTTATTGTCTCTTGCTGCATTCCCAGCCAACTCTAATACTTCCGCTGGAATGATGAGATTCACTTCAGTTAGGTCATTATGTCTAAAAATTATATAAATGCACTTGCAGAACCTTTCATGCCGGATGTGCTTGAAATTTATTGGAGAAAATAATTAATAAAATATTATTCGTTTATTAATTATGCTTGGATAGCGCATAACATTAGAGTTCTGCTACATGATTTCTAGAAAAATATGAAAAAAAGGTATAAAGAACCAACAGTTTCATTGCACCAATCCAGGCTGATGATAGGCTGCATACGTTATTAACAGTACCGCCACTACCAGTGGTTAATAACGTCAGGAAGGCTTTACCCCCTCCCCATCGAGGAGAAAAACCACAATTCATCAGGGAGAAACAAAATATATACATATGCATTTTCTACTAAAAGTAGACTAAAAAATTGATTAATAAGCTTTGAAACCCCTAAAACTGTCATACTTTTCTGGACCACAGATTTTGTGCGATGTCCGACCATGCCCACTTTGCTGTCGTCTAGGGCATCAGCCCACCTGTGGGGGACTTTGACCCCCTGTCGAGGAAATCTTAGCGTCACCACTACTACCATCATTTATTGCACCGTCAAGTACACCACACAAAGCTGTATTTTTTACGGACTGTAAATACAGTAATGGGCAGCTAATTTACCATCTTTGTTAAAACATCAAGTTGTTTTTTACACCCCACACTGATTACCTGTAAACATTAAATTAAAACGGAGCATAAACATATGAATTTGTAGGCGCTCTTTAGTAGCGCGCTGGCATGAATTGATAAAACTGCTCTAAAAAACCCTGAAAACACCCTTTTTACAGCCTTTTCTACCATAACTTTGGAACTGCTCATCAGATCAATTTCCTCCTTTTTTTAAATAAAAGATCAATCTTTCGATATATGTTGCATTTGTGGCAATAACCTATTTATATAACAGATCTATCTTTCATATTTCTAATAAGATTAAATGAAACGAGATAGATTTTGTTTTATCCCATCACTTTTCGATTAAAAGAAGGCAACTACATTGGATTTCCAGCGTAGAAAGCAGATTTTTTACCTTTCGCGGCTCATGTTACCAAATTCTAATCAGAATAACTCGCAAATTATTTGACCAATTGGTTTCTTTCTCTCTGTAAGTTGATCTTTATTCTTTCTGCCATACTTGTTGTGAAAATGGTTGTGATTAGTCAATATTTAGCTCTGGTCCATCACTTTTGGAAACCAATAGAATCAAGCCTTCCAAACAGTGCACAATTGAATGTATTGTATACAGGCGCTTGTTTCAGCGTAATCATTTTTCTCCAGCGACTGATGCGAAGACTGGAGTGTGTCTGGTGTTTGTTTGGTAAGTTAGAACCTTTTTATTGCTCTTTTTGCATATATGCTATGCTTTTTGCTTTATTGCATAAGAATTGAAAGCTTATGATTAATAGATTCTCATCATGTAAATATAATTAGGTTTGCCGTTATAATTTTGCTTCCCTCAAAATTCACATGTTACAGTGAAATGAATGAAAGCGTTCGCCGGTTCACTACGTAGGCCTACATCACGTGCTTAGCTCGCAGGAAACCTTGGAATGATACTGTACGTGCTAGAAAGCAAGAATTAATCTGTTCTTTTAGGCTCTTAAAATTCATATGGTGCAGGCCTGATATGGTGGTGTAATAGCACTGCATGAAGGTTTTTCAGGAAGTGTAAAAGTTTGTGGCCCTCTGTATTAAATAAACAATTACTTCGGCCCCCCCCCCACCCATTTTTATGCCATTATTTTTATGGAACTCCTGATTCGGTAGGAGAATCCATAACCCCCCTGGTTACTTACGGCCCTAAGCCTTTGCAATTCAGTAATAATGTAGGAGAATCTCTTTTTTACTAGGAGCTGGATTCGCGTCCTCCTTTTCTTGCACCCCCCCCCCCCCCCCCCCCCCCCCCCCACGAGGAAAACCCCTCCAAAAACCTTGAGAGTTCACGCCGGGCGTATACCACTCTACTGGGATACACTTTTAATTTATCTACCGTCACAAATAGAAATCTAAGAAAAACAAGCTATTGTGACATACTTACCCTCAACTCTATTTAAATTCGTTTGTAATTATCAATAAGCTGAAAAAAGCTGTTTTATGCAGTAACAATCATTAAACAGCGTGTATGCTTAGGCCAGGGAAGGCTTACCTGTTAAGTATTCGATCACAGCGGCTAAGTACACAGGTGCACCCATTCCGATCCTGTACTTCACAGTATTTAAACGAAGATAGCGATGCATTCGGCCTACGGGAAAAAGAACTCCTGCACGAGCAGACCTAGAAATGCTCTTTCCTCCTCGTTTTTTTGCACCTCCTCGAGCAGACATGTTGCACACTACTGCTTTCTTTTTTTAAGCCAAGTAATATTACAAAATTATTATGATTTAAGCTCGTAAAACTATGTAATTACCACTAGGCCTACAAGACTGTGTGCCGGTACCAGGGCAGCCAAGCTAGCTCACAATTCACAAACAAAGCTTGTTTGAGCGTGCAGCAGGAAGCAAAACACAAACATTAGCCTGCAGAGGAAATATTACTAATCTGTCAATTGCTCATCCACCCTCTAGTCAGTTATATAGTACTTTAAATATTCCTTTAATTTCAACCTAAGGTGTTCCAAATGCGAATAGGTTAAAGGCTGTACATATTTCAATGATTATTAGGCCTATGTTGTACACTTATTACCTAATAATAAAATTTTCGAGCAATTCAAGCATTTAAATAAGCCTATTCCAATAATGGAATGGCAAAATGCCTATTAGGGCTCAGTAAAATATTAATAGGCCTACTCAAATTTTATATTAATTAATACTCATAATAATATTAATAATGATCAGTGGCGGATCTAGGGGGACCGGCCCGGCCCCCTCCCCCTTTTGGGGAGGTAAATAAAGAAAGAAAGGAAAAAAATGATAGCCCAGAACGCCTCAAATGTTGTTTTCGGGCGTCTAGAACACAACAATTTCGCGGCATGCCCCCCCCCCCCAACTTTTTGGCAAAAAATATATAATGTCTGGAGATTTTTGTACGATCGGAAAGAAATGCAAGAAAAGAAAGAGGGAAGAAGGAGGAGAAGGATGGGAAAGAGAATGTTTATCCAGTCCCCGACCGAGTTACATTTTCTCGCAATTCACATTGGCGGATCTGGGGAGGGGGGTCATCGGTCCTGACCCTTCCCTTGGGCCAAAATAAAAAGGAAAAATAGAATTCTAGACCTATCTTTTCAATACCGCGTGAGCTGACTTTTTTTTCTTTTTTTTTTACACTTAAGAAAGTTAGAATTTTGAAGAACATAAAAGTCATTAAAACACAATTAAAATGTCGAAAAAGCTAATTTCCCGTACCCCCTTTCTTGTTGGGGTTTATCGATTAATGGAGAAAAAAAAATTCTTATGCAACTATTCATATTTTATTTTATTTTTATGTATGTACACACACATAAGGCCTATTTATTGTAAAAAAACAATAGGGAAAATTACCTGACCGTTTTCAGGAGGGGAAAACCTTGAATTTTGAAGAACTTCAATTAAAATCGCTAAAAGATACTTTAGAAATCGCGGAAGCTCATTTCCCACCATTTAGAAATCAACATTTTCCCGGGGAGAACCCCCGGACCACCCTTTCTTTTAGGGACTTATAGACAGTGGCGTATCTAGCAGTATTAAAAGGGGGGGTGCTGGTGGGGGGGAGCGACCAAAATATGAGGGGACGTGGAATTTATTTTCGGTGGCCACGCCCACTGAAAAATATTGCTTCTTAGATTTCCGAATACACGTTAACCGTGACAGCATAAGCATAAGCATAAGCCTAGCCTAATTTTTTTTGCTTCGAAGTTTTCGAATGGGGGTGGGGGGCACTGCTTATAGATTCATGGAAAAAGAATACGCATGCAACTACTCATTTGTTTACATGTGTATACACACATAAAATAAAAAATGAGAACAATTTACCTGACCGTTTTCAAGAGGGGAAAACCTTGAATTTTGAAGAAATTAAAAAGTCATTTATAAAACAAGTCAGGAAAGTTCATTTCCCGCCATCTAGAAATCGAAATTTTCCCGGGGGAACCCGTACCCCCTTTTTCTTTGGTGTGCATTGATTCATTGAATCATTTTCAAGAGGGGAAAACTTTAATTTTGAAGAACTTAAAAGTAATTAAAAGACAACTTAGAAGTCGGAAAGCTCAATTCCCGCCTTCCAGGAATCAAAATTTTCACGGGGGTAAACCCCCGGACCCCCTTTTTTCGACTCATGGAAAGAAAAAATCGTATGAAACTACTCAATTTTGTTTTATGTATGTATACACACAAAAGGAATAGGCCTATCTACTGTAATAACAATGGGGCGAATTTACCTGACCGTTTTCAAGAGGGGAAAACCTTGAATTTTAAAGAACATAAATTAAAGTCGCTAAAAGATTCTTCAGAAGTCTGGAAAGTTCATTTCCCACCATTTAAAAATCAACATTTTCCCGGGGAGAACCTGAACCTCCCTTTTCTCTTTGGGTTTATTGATTCATTATAATAATTTTCAAGAGGGGAAAACCTTGAATTTTGAAGAACTTTAAAGTAATTAAAAGACACCTCAAAAGTCGGGAAAACTAATTTTCGCTTTCTAGGAATCAAAATTTTCCCGGGGGAGAACCCCCAGACCACCCTTTCTTTTTGGGATTTATCGATTCATGGGAAAAAATCGTATGCAACTACTCAATTTTAAAAATTTTTATGTATGTATACACTCATAAGGCCTATTTACTGTAAAAGCAATGGGAAAAATTACCTGACCGTTTTCAAGAGAGGAAAACCTTGAATTTTGAAGAACTTAAAAGTAATTAAGACACCTCAGAAGTTGGAAAAGCTCATTTCCCGCCATCTAGGAATCAAAATTATCCCGGGGGAGAACTCCCGGACCCCCTTTTCTTTGGAGCTTATCGATTCATTGAAAAAAGAATACGTAGGCCTACGCAACTACTCTTTTTTTTATGTATGTCTACACACATATCAGGATATTTACTGTAATAAGAATGAGAAAGTTTACCTGACCGTTTTCAAGAGGGGAAAACCTTGAATTTTGAAGAACAAAGTCATTAGACGCCTAGCTCAAAAGTCGAGAAAAGTCATTTCGCGCCATCTAGAAATCAAACCTCTAGACGTCATAATCTATGAGATCGTCTATGACGCCCGCCTTGTTAGCGCGAGGTTTCAGGTTCGAATCCCACCGGAGGAATTTTTTCACACAACTGTACTGAATTTCGTTGTTGGGCTATGCCTGATCCGTTAACAAGACGTCATCTGTTCCTAATTCATGCTAAAATTGAGCACTGGTTCGGTCATAATTAGGCCTAGGCCTATACCTATTTGTTTATAGTATTCAGTGCTATGCAGTATCTATAATTTAAATATGTTGATTATATTACATATAAAGAATGAAATAATAACTATATAAGCCTACTTATGTATATTGTGGAAAAAATCAGACGGTCATAAACTGGTTGTTTGTGTAAAGGTCAGACCCGTGTTTCTCACTAAATTCAGATTCAGATTTATTTATTCACACAATGGATGTATGGTTACATTAAGTGGGGGGGGGATGGTATTAGGGCCTACTGTGAATGTAATTGTGTCTTGGAGAAACAAAAGCCCAGAGGATTTTAAATCTGGCTCCAGCAGAGACAAAACTGTGAAAGGTAGGCCTAATTTGTTCATTAAGTGACAGTTGGTGGCGCCAGGATTGCCCCGACGGGGGTCCGAGGTCCCCAACGGGAGGTCCGTGTCCCCGACGAAAAAGAGTGGGTGTGGTCGGACGTCGCTCAGAATCTCTCGAAAGTGTTCCACGGGAGGCCCCGAAAAATATGACAATTAGGGGTTTAAGGCTTATTTAATCGATTTTGGAGTCTACTAATAATAATATGTAGAAAATACATATACTTTTTTCTTCCCGACGATTTATGGTTTTTCCCGACCCCCTATAATTTCTTTTTAAAAAATTTGAAAGCCTAGAAAAAAAGATAGTATGTTTGTTAACTGGCAGGGATTCTTCAGTAATTAGAAGTTACTTAAGTAAACATACTGTCAGCAGTTTTAATATTGAATTTTGTTTTTCATGTTTTTTTTTAAATCTTTTGCTTTACAGGCTGTAGGCAGATGGTGCGGACCCATCCCCCCCCCCCCCCCCCCTCCACATATTTCAAATGGTCCACTTTTTTTAAATTAGATTTTTTACTTAAATCGTTTACAATCGCGAAAAAATGCATACGCTTGTTGTGTTTTGGATTAGCAGATTTTTGTAATGCTTGTATATACCGGCATCCGTCACCATTGATTTATCCCCAATAAAGTTTTAACCACAAAGCTATTTGTCCAGGGCGGAGAACGACCAATTAACCAACCATCGACAGACAGACCGACCGACAAAGCTAAGTTAAGATGTTTAAAGCACGCATCTTATATTCATAAAGTATTCATTGTTCAGTCTTGAAACAATAAAAACGTAATTATTTCCTGGGACTCTCTGCTCCCTGGACCCCACTACGGGGCTTTTGGAACTGCTTAGCCCCGGCCTACATTTGCTTATACCAATTTTAAAACTCGTTACTATTCGTTGCAGTTTGCAATTACGTTTTTTAAATACTTTTTAGTACATTACTTCGTTGTAGTGAGCAGTTATGTTTGTTATATTTTTTGGATACAAAAGAACTTTTTTTTGTAACTTCGGCATCCGCCACGATTTAATTACGCCAACAAATTCCTAGGGGCATAACCCACCAATATATATATATATATATCTGTCTCTTATACACA